AAGCAAAAATGAAAATTGACAAATCCATCTATTCCATACTGTGAGTGACCATTTCATACTGTGAATGACTCTGGATGTCCCTGTATATAGGAGGAGGCATAACTGTTGGAGTTACTGGTTCACTGGCCCCTTCAGGGAGCCCTTGAGGAGCCTGACACCTTTCCACTGCACCACCCCCAAAACAATAAAAAATAGCAATATTTGTTTTCAACATAACTCCAGCCAATGCACCATAGTGGCTTCTGGACAATTTCAACAAGGTTTGGAAGTTTCCTGAGCCATTTCTGGATAGGACATAAACAGAAAAGTCCATTTTTAAAAACTTTTGAGGTTGCAATAATCTCAAGGGTCCCTGTGGGATACATGCAGCCCTTGGACCATCCCTTTCCCACTCTGCTTTAAATTAAGGCAGGACAAATTAAAGCAGGACTTGTGGGACATCCAGAGAGCCAGCATGGCATAGTGGTTTGAGTGTTATACTAAGACTATGAAGATTAGGGTTCAATTCCTTGCTCAGCCATGAAATCCACTGGGTGACCTTGGGCAAGTCACATGCTCCCAGCCTCAGATGATGGCAATGGCAAACCTCCTCTGATCAAATTTTGCCAAGAAAATCCCATGATTTATGGTCACCATGAGCCAGAAATGACTTAAGGCACATAACAACGACAAATATGTGACTTCCACTGATGGCCCATTGGTTTTATTCAAGACCTGCTAAGTAGTGATGCATCCAGATGTATGAACACAATGACCAAGGTAAATCTTATGACATCTGATTGTGATGTCATAAGATTTACCTTGCTTATGACATCTGATTGTGAACATTAATTCCAAAGTATCAGAAATTGTCCAAAAAGCAACTGTTTTTATATATGTAAAACTACTGCTCCATTCTTTATTACTAAAAGGGAAGACTTTCCCCACTTCCATTTCCCTTTACAGTGTAAACTAATAAACTCTCCTAATACAAATGCATAGTTAAGTCAATTTATAAGCTTTTACTCTGTACATTTTTTGAATGGTCATTGCATTTGTAAATAGTGCTACTCATCAGCAAGATGCTCACTGCCAATGGCAAATGAGGGAAAGGGAGCAATTTTATATAAGCCTTTTAAAAAATGTATGCCACCTCACTGCATGAATGTTTGAATTGCTGTGCTTAGCAAAACCTGGCTTGTTTCTTCAGCACATCCTGCTTTCATAGCATTATCTCTTGTACATACAGTGCCTGCTGTAATTTACAGATGGCTCTACCTCCAGGTATGGAATGACCTCTGTCAGTATAATCTAAATAGGGCTTGGGACTGCTACAGTTTCAAATCAGATGGAATGGGCTATGTTGAGTATTTACCATTAAAAAACTAGCATCTTAAAGGATTATTTCTTAAAGCTGCAGCAGTTCGGCTAACATTTTGCTGCATACATCGTTTCCCGGATGGCATAATTGGGATCTAAAGTATGAGGGAATTTGCTCTTATAAACATTATGAAGAAATGGCCTTGGCTATTTAATCTAAAGAGATGCTAATAAAAGTTCAGACTCAATTTCACTACTAAAGCTCAATGACTCTATTAAAGCTGAGTATGAGAAACATCTCAATGATTATGCTGTATTGTATATAGATGGTATTATCAAGGCGGGTGAGGGAGTGGAAAGTGATATAGATGGATATCCATCACCTGAGTTTGAACTTTTTTTTTCACTCCTCTTCATTCATGGCTGTGTAGCTTTTAGAGAAATAAGCTGATATAGAGATGGATATTGCTACCTACAGAATACAGAGTGGCAGAATCAACTGACTCTGTCACTAGCCACAAGCACCTTATTTTGCAGTAGCATTAGCATAAGCAGATGCATAGAAATGGATACATATTGTAGCCAATTTTCATCTTATGATGTTCAGGTGGAGGTGGAGTTCCTCGATTGGGAGACATATCACAGATGCATAATATCCAAACCTCCTTCTTCTGCTATACATCCCAACCCCCCAACCCCCAGCCATTTTATGTCTGCAGGGGTGGTGGTGGCAGAAGATGGATGTACAGCAATGACATCATCCTCAGGACCTCTGGTACCGAATTCTGACATCCACAATAATGCCAAAAGTGACTTACTATGGTGTACAACATCCCATCATAATTCCCTAACAGGCTTCCAGGCATTGTCTACAAATGCCCATCAGTCCTGAAGCCATGTCAGCCACTCTATGATGCAGATGACATCAAAAAGCACCATATCTAAATAATGTGTGAAACTCAGTGTGGTTTATAGTTTGTAGTGTGGTTTGTAGTGGTTTGAGAATTGGACTATGACTCTGGAGGTCAGGGTTCAAATCTTGGCTCAGCCGTGTAAACCCACTGGGTGACCCTTGGGCAAATCATACTCTCTCAGTCTCAGAGGATGGCAAAGGCAAACTCCCTCTGAAAAAACTTGCCAAGAAAACTATAAGTCAGAAATGACTTATACAACAACCACAAATAGTGCTTTGATATGTTCAAAGCACTAAGCATATAAGATCTCAGAGCCCTTGTGACATGGCTGTAAGAAAAGTCAGTATTATTACTTAAGTATTGCAGAAGGGATATTATTATGTGCTGAGAGAGAGAGAGAGAGAGAGAGAGAGAGAGAATGATTTGTCTGGCATGTTAAGACAAAATTCAAACTGAGGACTTTCTGATTTATAAAGTAATTAGGTAGGGGGCATGGGAGTCATTGTGTAGATATAATTTGGGTTGATCTGCATATAGATGATAGGCATTCCTCAAGTTATTTATATTTAGTTATGGCAGAATACCATTTTGACATTTTCAGTGTTATTCTTCATTGAGAGGAAAACCAGTCAGTGAATGCCTGTAGCTTTGAATGAAGCTTACTAAAAAGTAAGGCACAGATTACTTACAGCTTCTAAACTCTTAACCTTTCCCAGAAAAAATAGTAGACTATTGGTGGAATCTGTGGACAGGTTTTGCCTTTCAGGTAGAAACTGAGTACTAATCCAGACATAGCATTAAACATGACATCTCTTTCTTGGGAAGAGCAACTGGCTTAGGACCAGTGAGGAAATAAATGTAGCCCTTTCCATCATAATATTTTTCTATGCCTCCTCCCCACTTTTGTTTACCTTTAGAGATGTCATTTGCTGCTACATCTAATTTGACTAAGATTGTAGCTCTTGTAGAATCTAACATAACATTGGGCTACTCCATAAGAGCTAGATTTTTTGCAAACATGCTCCCAACACACAAAAAGTTTTGTTGAGTTTCTTTCTTCAGGAATTTCACATTCCTATTCATGGCACCAAGCTATGCCATCACTAAGCAGAAAAACTACATGTGGTGTATGTAAATATATTGTTTGGACACTTGATGTGGTTTGGGCATATCCACTGTCAGCTACATATACCATTCCTTGAGCATTAATGGAAAATATTACCCAGACGTCATGGAATGCAGTTCTGGAATCCAGCTGGTCTCCTGAAACTACAGTCCCCACTAAATCAATAGGGTATATTTCCAGATAAATAAGTATAAGACTGTCCTGTAAGTCTTTGGAGGAAAAAAGTTTAAACTAGGTCTCAATTGCAATAGTGTTGTCACAAAGCACAGTAATTGTTAATCGTATAAATGAATGTTTACCTACCTACATTTTAAAAGAAGCAGGGCTGTAATATATAATAAAAAGAAGATTCTGGGCTCATTCCCACTTACATTTGAACTGGTTTGTGATTCGCCTTACCTCTGTATTGGTGAATCGATTCCAAAAGGTCCGTCGTTCCCACTATGAAAGCAGATCTTTTCATTATTCCCTTTTTTGGCACAATTGGTGTTCCCCCTAGTTTGAGCCACTTCAAAAATGCATATCAATCATCTGTGCATCATTGGTGATGCAAGCAGCAACACGATAAGGATGGGGCCATTCCAGGTGTTGAGTAGGATGACTTTAGAAACTGAGCTTTCCTGTGCCCCTCAGCAACCCAGCCTGCTCAAGCACACTGTTTCCCTTTAGAGCAGCACAGCATGGGAACTTAAAAAAAATTGACAGAATCTGTGATCCATTGGTTTTGCAACTAGTTGCCTCACTGAGCTACAGTCCACCTGTCATAGCAAGTAGTTAAGAATACAATGGATCACAGATTCTGTTAATTTTTTATTTTAAAAAATATCATGTGCCCATAGGTCACACCACGAGCATAAAGGCAGTGCTGGGGGGGAGGGGATGGCTGATTTCCCAAAAACTGAGGAGGGGTGGTAAACACTCCCCTGCCATTAGTTGCTCCCCTCCAGAATGATGCAATTCAGATCTGTTGTTCCCACTTGTTGAACACACTTTGGAATAGTTTCTTTTTAAAAGAATCGCCAAAAAACTAGTGCCAGCAAACAGCGGGTCTCTTGCATTTGCCTTGCTTCATCATGATTGAAACCAAGTTCAATAGAATTGGAACTGGTTTCAAGTGGGAACGATGGTCTTATAAACTGGCAAGCATTCGCTTTAAATCATAGTGAGAATGAGGTTTCTGATAAATAAATTGGAGACAGTACAGATAATATGTTGGAGATAATATATTGGAATGCTGCAGATAATATATTAGAATGCTAGGGATTCTAAACTTGATAAATAGTATTTAATAACTCTGCTTTAAAAATATGCTCCTGTTTTTCCACCATTTTTTATCAGGACTCTGGAGAACAGAATTAATAAGAGACAAACAAACAAACAAACAAACAAACAAAAAACTACAGCAGGATTCAGTTCCTCACATTGCTTGACCTTTTTTTCTGAGTTCAAGAAAATATTACCATATCTCCCAATCTGAAATTAACTCCATCCATCTCCACATAGGAGAATGTCTACAAATTTGTGTCATGATGAAGCTGTTATTTCATGCTGGATGTGGAAAGGTGTGTCCAGACCACCATGTAGCCTATAGATTGATCTGAAGATGCACTGCTGAAAATACATTTGAGGTAGACATGAGCTCCCACAAGATCTGGAGTGACAACTGGCTTTAAAGCTGGAGTTTGTATTTTTCCTGCATTGAAATGAAAAACAAGCAAACAGATGGGTGCATGACTACATGAGTTGGATAATAGTTCACCAAGTTTTTTAAAAAAGTAATTCTCAAAAACATAGAGAGAAATTTCAGGATCAATGGTTCAGAACTAAAAACGATAGAATGAATTGCTATAAATTTCTGCATTATCTTCTTCTACATTGATAAATATAGAAATAGTTTTAAGCTGTACCTAAACTGAGTAAATGAAAGCAACAAGATAGCAAAGAATGGTGAGAAAGAGATTCCAACTGTTGGAAAGCAACACAGGAGGGGTTACTCCTTCTTTTGCTGAAGAATCACTCAGTGGGTAGGGGTGATTGACACAATGTAGCATGGTATATCTCTCTCTGAATTACCATCTTGATGTCTCTTCCTTGATTTTGTAAGTAAATAACACTCTACCTCCCTCCCAGAATAATAATAATAATAATAAACCCCATCATTTTGGATGTGTGAATATATCC